CCTTGGTCAACGAATTCGGCCTCATCGCGAGTGCAAGCATATAATGTCACCATTGCGGTTCCGGTTCCGATTTATCAAAGTTTTGGTTCCACGCGACCTATTTTCGGCTTCAGACTAAAATATGCTACTGGCCCTCCAACCTTTACGATAACCCGGTTTTTCCGAAGGTATATGGGACGGGGAGAAAAGCACATTTAGCAGATCTAGCCGAGTCGTTCGCCTAATGAAGGTGAATGAACCTCCGCAAGAAGTGTCGAGATTGAAATTTAAAAACAGCTCTCCGGAGCACACAGGAAGATCGAGGCTTAATTTTGATGCGCTTCGATAACATTCACGAGCAGTCGAGCGTGCTGAATCAGTTGCTCGCACCCAGATCCTAGTCTGGCGAGGTTTTCTCCCTAGTCAAAGGAAACGTCTAGCGCACAAATTACGCACGCGTAACGCTGTAACGCGCCGCAGGTTTTACGCCAAGGCAGGTTTTGCTATGTCTAGCGTGTAGGTGTCTTAATTCAGTTTGCTGCTATATATAATGAGTTGTTAGCAAGCACAGCCTGTCTGTCAGCCGAGCGACTGACATCGGCGGGTGGGTGTTACACTACACACAGGATTCATCCCTTGGGGAGAGGCCTGCAAGAACGCATCCGTCACATCTCCCGCGCTGTGCCCACGCCGAAAACTCGCGCGGTGCACGTGACGCGCATTAGGCCTGCGTTTTAAATCAGACTAGTTACAGACGAAAACTGTAACGCAAGCATTCTGCTGCGTGTTCGTGTTGCTAACAGCATGTCGCGCCGCAACGCGAACGAACTGCTCGAAGACAGACGCGAAATGCGGAGCCAACGAATTCAAAATGTCAACCCAGATTAGCTGCAAATCAGGGCAGGTCCAAAGGCTTCCAGTCGACTAAGAGCATTAACAAGCGACTAGATAGCTACTAAGACAAACACGTGCCAAGGCGCGTTACTGGCTATCTATACATGCTAGCTATCTAGCTTTAACGCATGCACGCACGCACGCACACACAATCACAAAGGATTGCACGCACACATGCCTGCCCCGCTCCCCACCGTTCTCTGTCTGTCATTCTCTCTATCTCCCTCTCTATTTGCCATTCTGCCCTTCTAATATCACCACGTCAAACTGTCAACTAATTGTGATTTCTCAGTTTAATGAACACTTTTATATCACCATGTAATCTCCAAACCTTACTTCAATATTTGAAACAGAAGCTCTCGTTACAGAATTTATTTACATCGTTAATTTATGAGCTTCTCGATTCAACATTTCATTTTTTCGAAATGAGACTTATTATCAGGGTGGTACGTACACAAAGCGCGCGCAAGCACACAACCGCAAATAGCTGTGTAGTGACGGTATGAAGTCAGCTAAACAGGAGTCTGAACCCTCATTTAATAAGCTGCACATTAGAACAAGTGAAGCCTCTTCACTGGCGATTTCTCTAGAAAAGACACTAGTTTCTTGCTGCTAGCTGGCAACATTTGAGTCATGCGTCTGCCTCCACGGTGAAGCCCTACTATTAAGTATGCATTACTATCTCTGACCCGAACAACGCATCGCCCCGGCGTTCCTAGTGCTTGCGAAACGAGATGCTAACTGGGTGATTTCCCCTGACATGTACCCAAGCTGCTCGCGAACACAGGAAACACTGACCCGCAAATCTGCGCCACCACGAACTGAGAGCCCATCCTTCACGACAGCATCGAGTGTGGCCCAGTGACCATCTGAACCATCCACCCCTTCCCCCTCACCGTGGAGTCACACTGTCAACACAACTGCAATCCCCACTGCTGCTGTTGCCGCTGATGTCGACATTGCCCTCCAGGTCGTCTGAGACACCCCGGCTGTCGCTGCGCTGCTTGAGGCATTGATCAGTCGTCTGAGACACCCCGGCTGTCGCTGCGCTGCTTGAGGCATTGATCAGTCACCTGAGACACCCCGGCTGTCGCTGTGTTGCTTGAGGCATTGATCAGTCACCTGAGACAACCCGGCTGTCGCTGCGCTGCTTGAGGCATTGATCAGTCACTTGAGACACCCCGGCTGTCGCTGCGCTGCTTGAGGCACTGATCTGTTGTCTGAGACACCCTGGCTGTCGCTGCGCTGCTTGAGGCATTGATCAGTCACTTGAGACACCATGGCTGTCGCTGCGCTGCTTGAGGCATTGATCAGTCACCTGAGACAACCCGGCTGTGGATGCGCTGCTTGAGGCATTGATCAGTTGTCTGAGACAACCCGGCTGTGGATGCGCTGCTTGAGGCATTGATCAGTCACCTGAGACAACCCAGCTGTCGCTGTGCTGCTTGAGGCATTGATCAGTCACTTGAGACACCCCGGCTGTCGCTGCGCTGCTTGAGGCATTGATCAGTCACATGAGATACCCCGGCTGTCGCTGTGCTGCTTGAGGCATTGATCAGTCACCTGAGACACCCCGGCTGTCGCTGTGCTGCTTGAGGCATTGATCTGTTGTCTGAGACGCCCCAGCTGTGGATGCGCTGCTTGAGGCATTGATCAGTCACCTGAGACAACCCGGCTGTCGCTGTGCTGCTTGAGGCATTGATCTGTTGTCTGAGACAACCCTGCTGTCGCTGTGCTGCTTGAGGCATTGATCAGTCGTCTGAGACGCCTCGGCTGTCGCTGCGCTGCTTGAGGCATTGATCAGTCACCTGAGACAACCCTGCTGTGGATGCGCTGCTTGAGGCATTGATCAGTCGTCTGAGACGCCAAGGTCGATAACGGGCGTACATTTCCACGTGTGGATCGTGCTGGGGCTCGTGTCCTCCTGCACAGTCTTACTGCTGCAGAACACGTCCAGCTTGAACTGACCGCTGCAGAAGAACAGCAGGCTGCACTGATGCTCGAACGTCTCCTTGAGGCAGGCCTGCAGAGATACAAGCACACGATAGCATTAATGCGCAACGTCGATGCTGATAGTGAATTGTTTCGATATCTAGACATTCACTTTACTACTCCACTACACACTCCTGTTAGAACCCCTGCCAAGTTCCATCTCTCATCATCTCATCCGCTATGCCGCCCCTCTCTCCTGCCCTGCCTCCCTCTCACTTCTCTCGCTCGCTCTCTCTCTCTCTCCCTCTCTAACTGCATTTTGCATTCTCTACGACACGCACGTCAACGCACGCATGGATGCGCGCGTCTTCTTTATTCAGTTTACTCCATTTATTATTATTATTATTATTATTATTATTATTATTATTATTATTATTACTATTATTATATATGTGTGTGTAACACTGTGTATATAAACACACACACACACACACACACACACACGCACACACACATTTATTTATTGATATTATATATTATCAAGAGCATATAAACCATAAACGGTAAGGGTTGGGGTTAGGATAATATCTTGATAATATGCATCTATGTACCAGATGGCACACATGTGAAAGCAAAATTAAGTCTCGCCTAATACAGGAGCAGCTGCAACCTGTCAGAGAATCTACTAGCTGACAGCACGTAATTCAGGCTGTCTCTCTAATGAATAATGTGCGTGATCACACGACGATCCCCACAATATACATTCGATTATGGAAAGATGCTGGTTTTATGGTGACAAACTACAGCCACAAGTAACTAATTTGTCTTCATTCTTATTAGAACATTTGAACATTTATATGTATTATATTATTATGTATTTTATGTGATATGCGTTCACATTAAATCCTCGCTGCCGGTGTGAAATGGCGGCGACTATTTGGCTGGTAGTTGACCAGCCGTGGCCGGTTACCTAATGTCAATGTAAGCTGACCTGAATGTAGCCTGCTAATACGAAAATATTGTAATCCCGTATCTCGTTATTATTAGGGAAATAAAACTAGTGCATTTAAGAGTTTCCATCCTGGCTTAAATTCGATACGCGTTTAAAGAGTTTAGTTAAATATATTTCCATATTATTAAAAGGGCTCATCAAGATCCATCTTGGGACAATACGTGCTGAATCATATGTAACGACAATCATGTAAATAAATAACACTTCAGGGTGATTTGGAATTTTCGAAAAATACAAACATCACGGAAACATTAAAAAAAAACCTGCCACCCAGACATAACACTATTTTAATGGATTAACTGCCGAGGAACTGAAATCTCAACCGGCAAAAACTTATTCATTTAACGAGCGACTCTGAAGCTCGCGTAGCATGATTGCTACTGGGTTGCCTGGCGTCATTTTGGGAAATTAAATAAAAACAGTACAGCTTTACAGTGGCTGAATTTTAAATTGCATTTATATCGATGCCGCACCGAAAACTATGCGCATCCATGCTAAAATTTAAACTTTAATATAATTGTTCGAAATCGAAGCATATTAATACAGCATGGTCTAGCGCCGTTAAGTGTTTACTGCACTGTTGTGTGACGCAAGCGCATCGACCTCTTACGTCATGTACGGGAATTTCTTTGCGGCGTAGTTCGTTGTGTTAAAATCGTTCAGTGTATAGCTCGGCGCTCTCATGCTATTGATGTCTGGAGCCTGCGCTTAATAAACAAAAGGCGCATCAACGAATCTATCAGTGAGCACGGTGAATATCTCGCTTCAAGCACGTGACAAATTGAATTACCTGCTCAGCAACTAGACAAACATTCGCTATAACGTTGGCCCTGAAGATGTTTCCTTCTAAATAGAATCTTTCAAGGTAGACCTTTTTTTAGAATATCGTTACTACTCGCTACTACACAGCAGATGAGAGACATGCAATTAACTGCATCATACAGCCATGCTAGTCCACGCCACACAAATACATTTGAAGTCACGACTCCCAAGTTTGAAAACACATGAAAAGTGGAAAATACCTCCATTTCCTTCTTCCATTAGAGATTAACTTGGTCACTGGACATCTAAACGCACGCACACGCATACCCGTGCACGCGCACACACACTTACACACGGGCACGCACACGCACACTTACACACGTGCACGCACACACACACACACACACACACACACACGTGCGCACACACACACACACACACGCATACTGAGTAGCGTGCACGTACATTACTCAGACAAGCACAGTCACGATCGCACACAAAAAACAGATGGGAATTTACATCTCTAAAAGGAATGATGTGTTCGCAATGTGTTTCTCCGTCGAATTTTCACGGATGAGTTTGAGTAGCAGGTTAACTGCGCCCGCAATCGATAAGCCCGGAACACGGGAACAACGCTCCTCGAGCCATGTGCTAGCATTACGGATGCACTGGCTTCCTGCAAGAAGCTCATTTTCCTGCTTCCGCCGAGCAGCTCCGGCCGCATGCTAACGGGTTCGGCCAAACTAATTTGCATCCACTCTCGCATTTTCCACATGTAATAGCGTCTTATTATGATATAATCTGAGTGAGATTTTTAATTAATGAAGTCCGCGCCGCTAAGCCCGCTACGGCTCGGCACAGCATGGCGTGCCACAAAAGCCGACAATTGGGCTCTCACACTGTAATTGAAGCAGGCGCTCAGTGGCTGGTCGCCGTGAATAGCCGCAGTGAAGCCCGCTCGCTTAGCCGAGCACTAGGGAAGTAGTAGTGGTGATGGTGATGGTGGTGCAGTAGCAGCAGTAGTAGTAGTAGTCGTAGTAGTCGTAGTAGTCGTAGTAGTAGTAGTAGTAGTAGTAGTAGTAGTAGTAGTTAGTAGGTCAGTAGTGTCATAGGTAGTAGTAGTAGTAGTAGTAGTGAGAGTAGTAGTAGATAGTAGTAGTAGTAGTTAGTAGAGTAGTGTAGTAGTAGTAGTAGTGTAGTAATGTGTAGTAGCTAGTAGTGAGTCAGTACGTAGTAGTAGTATAGTAGTAGTTGTCAGTAGCTGTAGTAGTATGTACGTATGTAGTAGCTAGTAGTAGTAGTAGTAGTAGTAGTAGGTAGAGTAGTAAGTAGTTAGTGTAGTAGTAGTAGTAGTAGGAGTAGTGTTAGTAGTACGTAGTAGTAGTAGTAGTCAGTAGTAGTAGTAGTAGTAGTAGTGAGTAGTAGTAGTGAGTATTTAGTAGTAGTAGTAGATAGTTAGTAGTAGTAGTAGGTGTAGTAGTAGTAGTAGTAGAGTAGTAGTAGTAGTAGTAGTAGTCAGTAGTAGTTAGTAGTTAGTAGTAGTAGTAGTGTAGTAGTAGTGTAGTAGTGTAGTAGTAGTAGTTAGTAGTAGTAGTAGTAGTAGTAGTAGTAGTAGTACAACAAGAAGAAAAGAAAGAAGAAAAAGAAAAAGAAAAAGAAAAAGAAAAGAAGAAGAAGAAGAAGAAGAAGAAGAAGAAGAAGAAGAAGAAGAAGAAGAAGAAGAAGAAGAAGAAGAAGCAGAAGCAGACGACGACGGCGAAGAAGAAGAGGAACGGTAGCGGAAATATACTCGTGAAAAATATCTTCCCGTATTTATCGGAAGCTAAGCAGCCTGGCGAATGTCATTAACAATCAGCTGCAAGTAGATTAGTGTAATTTCCCGGTGATTTCTTTGACGCGACCGGCACACGCAAAAATCATCCGAAATCGGGCCGCGTCAGTCTGCGCACATAAATTGACAGACAAGATGAAAATTTAGCAGATAAACGTCGGAATCATAGCTGCTTAGCTGCATTATTCATTAGAACATATTAAACCGACATGCACGCTGAATTCGCTAATGTATATCAACATCAGCTTACAGAGCGTCAGCCGATATGAAACCTCACACACGCACACAGACAAATGCACAAAACCGCACGCACTCACGCGAATGCTTCATCTAACCTGACCAAATGACGATCGGCTCCAAACAGGTTATAGCCTTCCTCGTGCTGAACATGAAAATATTCGGGCGCAATGCTGACATTAAATACAGCAAATCTACCAACTGCTGTTGCTGTTTGACATAACATGACCGACCATTCTTGATTCAGAAATAGATCATTATGCGCTACGTGTACGGTATATTGCTGCATGCGCGGAACAGATAAGCGATTGCACTTGGCGAATGCGATCGCATTTGTCAGACATTTGTGACAATCTTCAACATTATACACACGGCTGAGATCAAGACACGGCAACCGAACAATACTGCTGCACACAGTGCACAACGTAAAAGACGCGTATAGGCCGTAAAACCGCGAGACAAAAATCCAGATTGTCAATCTTCTGAATATCCTTGCGTGTACTGTGCTATCTACCGTCGCACTCATCAAATTCAATCGCAATCTTTCTTAGAAATGCAGATTTCTCTCCATCCAAGAGCAATTTCTTATGCGCAGCCATTAGTGGTTGGCAAGATAATAATATGGAAACGGATCAACGGATATACGTTATTTATGAACACGACATTCCACCTGCATACAACACATATTGCACCCGGATCTACGACATATTTTACCCAGATACATTCTACCTGGAAGCGAGATACATTCTACCTGGATGCGAGAGATATTCCACCTGAATACAAGACATTCCACCTGAATGCGACAGATATTCCGCCTGAATCCAAGACATTCCACCTGAATGCGACAGATATTCTGCCTGAATACAAGACATTCTACCTGAATATGAGATATATTCCATCTGGCTACAAAACACATTTCGCCTGAATACAATAAATATTCCACCTGGATAAAAGACGTAATCTACCTGAATACACGATATATCCCACCTGGATACAAAACATTCCGTCTGCATACAACTCGTATTTCACCAGGATACAGCCCTGTAGTCAACCACGATGGCTATCATATTTTCCCACCTAGACATACAACCCGTGTAAAATGGCAATACAACAACCGTGTGTATGGAACCCGTATTCAGACCGAATGTCACACATTCACGCCGCAGCCGACGAGTCGAAAAATCAATTGTGTGACACGCTGCCAACCACTATCAGTCGGATACCAATATGTCGCACGCTTCCATAGCGG